ATACATGTCCCCATATATTTGTGAATATATATAGTACATGTCCCCATATAAATGTTAATATATAGTAAATGTATGTTCACATATATACACAACCAATATATTATATATATTTACATATATTACTCAATATATGGAAAGCGGCAATTACTGATGTATTATCACATATATTACAATATATTATCACAATATATTATTCAATATATATATATATTGTAATATATTAACACAATATATTATTCTATATATCTTCAATATATTTTCAATATATTTTGTAGATATGAATAAATATGTTTTTCATGTTGATTATTAATCAGTATCACTTGGTGTAGCCAACAGCAAGATTTCCTTTATTAAATCTTTTCAATTAACCAGTAAATCAGAAAACAAAATAATGCAATATATTGACAGTTAATATATGGGGAAATATATTTTCTTTGCGTAAGGGGGGTGACGTCACGATTCGCCGAACTGCATTCTGGGAGCAAAGCGTAGCTTTTCTCGCGGTGCTCGCTGCAAAAGTAGAGCAATGTTCTACTTTTGAAGCTGAGGCGGAGGCGTCAGCCAATCAAATCCTGCGTATGCAAATCTGCCAGTACAAGTGCTAGCCAATCAAACCGCGTGTATGCTGAGAGAGCCAGACCGCAGTTCATTTCCTCATATGCCAAAAAATGGAGGAGAAAATAATCGTAGCGGTAGGGAATCACCCGGTGCTTTCAGTCCCTGTTCACCTACCGGGATACAAACCGGAGGAGCCAGGCATGGAGGGGAGGTGGCAGAGATATCCAGTGTACTTCGTTTGAATGGACAGCAGGCATAGACAGTATATTTAGCCACCATGCAATGTTGCATGAAATAGCACCATAGACATTAATTAAAAATCGCTTTTTAGACATTAATGTCTATGGTGAGATTCAGACACCGGAGCCTTTTTAAAGCCTTTTTACCCCGCTGCAAACAGAACCCCCCCCCCCCTTCCCATCACAAACTTTACACAGACCCCCCCTTCCAATTATCAACTCCTGTCTTGTTTCCGCAAACTCTTGTGTCCTGCAGCAGCTAAAAGTTTTGCAAGCCCCCGTTCGTTTAGTACCTAAAATAATAGACATCGCTTTTTCCAGCTGACAAACCCGACTTTCTGGTCACTTCTTCAATTTTCCAGCCCTTGAGGAGAGACACGGGAGATTCATGTGATTGGTTGTTGGTCGCGTTGCTCGCGTAAACTCCCCAAGCTCAAGACACGCCCACCGCCAAGCGGCAACGCACGCCGCCGTGTGTAAGCTGCGTTAGTCCCGCAGTCATCTGGTTCGACCTGACTATGGCTGTGACTGTGTGACTGACCCGAGCCTCGTCGTTCTGATAGCTCCGCCCCTTCGCTCCAACCCCCCTCCCTCCCCCCACATCTACAGGTGAAAATTACTTTTGCGACACATTCATCGCAAGAAGTGTAGCAAAAGTCAAGGCCGCAGATTAGTCGATTTATACTGCCACAGAGCATATTCGTGAAGTTGTAATGACTGATTTGAGAGGTTGTAATAACCAAGTTGCAGTTGTAATGGAAAATATATTTAAAAAATATATATTTTTCTGCAAGTGAACATTTCATCACTAAGTTCATTTTTTTTCTACAAGCTACAAAACCTTTTTTTTTCTTCTGTGACTTCAAATGTGGTTCACAGAAACGGATATGTTATACAAGTGTAAATGTATGCACACAAGCTCAGATTTCTTTTCTGCAAGTGCTCACATCAGGTTTTACACGCTCTCGCATTTTGCACCATATCTACCTTCATATAGCCAAGGCTGCAGGCTTTTTTTCAGTCATAGAATCATGTGTTGGAGCAAGAATTCATTGAAATGAGACCTACTCACTGCATGCATCTTACTGTGGGCCATTGTTACCTTTATGGTTACAGAAATTGAGGCCAGCTACAAAAAATTGCTGTGGCTTTCTGCGACTGTAAACTCAGAAATTGTAGTTGTAAGAATGTGTTTAATTATACAAGTTTCTGTTTGTGCAAACCAACATAACTACTTTCTTGGCCACTTAGGGGCAGCAGAATCTGTAAATACAACATTTTATCCTCTTTTATAAAAAGGACTCTTTCTAAAAGTCTCTTTACCACTGGACAAAAAGCACAATAACACCCAACAACATCTTGACCATACTTTTTCCAGCTGCAAGATGAAATTGACACATGACAAATAATTGGCCTAATTAAAGCAATATTATACAGTATGTAATTATTATACATATATATTTTTATTTAATCGTTTATTTGGCAGGGACAATGCACAGTAATGAACACTTAAAACATTAAAATGTGTCAAGCGTAACAGTGCCAGATTTAGCTTTGAGCTAGTTTCCATCCGCAGTCCCTCACATTAAACATTTAAGAAAATTACAGTTTACAAACATGGTAAAAACAAAATACATGATATGCAAAAAGTGCAAAAGAGCAAGAGCAGCATACACAAGTATTTACCACATGGCAGTACAATATAGCAGCAACGACATATAAAGTGCAAGAAAAGATAAAAGTGCTACGTAAAGTGCAAGAGGAGATACCCCTGTGTTAAAGTGCATTTAGCGGTGATTGCACGTCTGTTTGTCTCTTAACCATTCCCTGAGTTGACCTTTAAAACTATTGAGAGTCGGACAATCCCGTATCTCAGTTGGGAGGCTATTCCACAATGAGCTGCCTTTAATGGAGAGGACATTTTGACCAAAAGTGGTCCGTCTATGGTGGATTTCACAGTCTCCTCTGGTTTCTGACCTAGTGCAGCGTCCAGTGTGTTTTTTGTGGATGAATTCCCCTAAGGGAGGGGGGGCCAGTCCATGTAAACAATTATAAATAAAACACATACTTTTAAAAGACTTAAAATGGTCAAAACTCAAGAAATTGTGTTTTTCAAGGATGGCACAGTGATAGGCCATTTACACTTTTGTTATGACTTAAAGGTGGGGTAGGTAAGTTTGAGAAACCGGCTCGAGAGACACTTTTTGTTATATTCCATGGAATGCTCTTAACACCCGATAGCAATGAATATTTTAAGTGCTTTGACAAAAAATCCATACAAAAATGTCATCTGTGGAAGCCGTAGTGCTGTAAAAAGCACGACCAATCATTTTAGCCGGCCAGCCTTCCATCTGTGCACAAACTTATCTCGTGTTCGTGTGTGTTGGAGGAGGGGCTCTGTAAGGAAGTGGCAGATTTTTCCGGCTGTGTATTTTCAAATTCTAGCGATCTCGAGCTGGTTTCTCCAAAATTACCTACCCCACCTTTAATTTGACGGAAAACTAAAATAAAAAATATTAGGTCAAATCAAATTCATTTAAACCCACGACTCGTAACAATATTTTTACATTCTAGCGTAGCTATTCACACTCACATTTAGGATCTTCCTCAACACTGATTAGTTGCGACCATAGACTGTATAATGGTTGCGACACATAGTTAATGCGGTTAATGAGCAGGTTTGATGATAGGGGCGGCGGTGTCTCATTAATTGTGCTCCGGCTGGGATATGATGAGTTAGTGGCGCGCGAGCTTCACTGAACTGACGCTACTGAGGGGAGCGGCTCGTGACGGAGCCACGTGCGCGCACAGGGGAGGGAGATAAATACAAACGGCGATGAAAAACTCCTGAGGGGATGCTGGGATAAAATTGAGAGCAACACTGGAGAGTACTCAGTATAGTGCATACAGTGCTGAATGAAAGCAGGGAGAGGGAGCTGCAGCAGGATCTGGGACTTCTAAAGAGGAAGCCACTTAACATCTGATGGGAATACATCACTCTACGACAAAAATGTGAGTTTTTTCGAGCTATTTATTGTATTTGTATTAGGAAAAATGCATTTTCTCTTTTATTACAAAATAAGATAAAAGATTTTGTGAAGTAAACCTTTATTGTCACTGTTTTTTAAGGTTTCACTGTGTTTATTCTTGATAAGAACTGTAGAATTGAATAGATACATTTAGTTTAAAGATAATATAATTTATCTATATTTATGTTTCCTTTATTTAGCCAGGAAGGTATAAGAATCTAAATCTTTTCTCAAGGGTGTTCTGGTCATCATATCTCCATTACCAGTGTCTAATAATTATTTTGTATTAATTATTTAAATATTAAAAAACACAACATAAATCATAAAAGAGGAGGCACATAAAGGAAATACCAGTAGAATCCATAATATATTTCAAAGGTTATGTGAAACAGCTATTTTTTTCACACAAGTTTGTGAAAGACCTTTCAAGCTAAGAAGGGATTACTTCCTAGGACCGAGCAATGTGGAGTAAATTAAAATAATATATTATTATTTTATATGATATGGTTGATTATTGGTGCTTTCATTGAATATTCACACATATATAAATTCACACTCATCACTTATTTCCTATTATGAATATCTATTCCAAGATGGTAATTTCCGTATTATATTGATATGCTGTTGTATTTTTAGTTACATTTGCAGCTTATTTCATGCAGAGTGAAAAGAAAGCGAAAAGGCTAATTATGATTTATGTGTTGTGAGTCCTAACTGTTGATTATACATTTACATTGGTGAAAAAAAAGCGCCATTATGCACATTTTAAGTCATAACTAAGATTTGATTGTATTGCAATTTTCAAAACTCAAAGACTCTAACAGTTGGATGGATTATTCTTTGTTGGAAATGGGATAATTTACATGGTTGTCAGGTGTTGTGTTGCTGCAAATTCAATAGCCTGGAGAAACCCTATGCACATTATGTGGTTTGTGATGAACAATCAGCACATCATTCCACACCAGTGAGCAGAGAGATAGCGCCCTACACAGCAGAATGCTCCCTCTATGTCAGCCACTGTATAAGTCTCATAACTATTTTTTAAGTCTTCTTATGCAAATCAATGCAGATAAATATTTTGCGTCAACTCATGAATATATTTTTGCCTTATCTCCCTTTGCCACCAACAGCCTCCATGTAAGCTGAGTAGAAATGCAGACTCCTTGGTGAGGGTCAGAAAATGAACGCCTCTTCCTGCTGTGATCCTGCACTCAGCATGTATCAACACAGCTCAGGGTTTGACCTCAATGCCAGCTGTGACTTGCTGACTCCTCACTGTAACTGGACGTCGGTGGACAGCGCGCTGCAGCTGCCCACCTTTTCGACGGCAGCCAAAGTCAGAGTGATCGTTACCTTCATCTTGTGTGGCATTTCCACTTTCTGCAATTTGGCTGTGCTTTGGGCGGCCCACAGCCACAAGCGGAAATCCCATGTCCGAGTGCTGATAATCAACCTGACTGCGGCCGATCTCCTGGTTACCTTCATCGTGATGCCCGTTGACGCGGTTTGGAACATCACAGTCCAGTGGCTGGCTGGCGACCTGGCCTGCAGATTACTGATGTTCCTCAAGCTGCAGGCCATGTACTCCTGCGCCTTTGTCACAGTGGTGATAAGTCTTGACAGACAGTTGGCTATACTCAACCCTCTGGCCATCAGCATGGCCCGGAGAAGGAACAGGGTCATGCTGACCGTGGCTTGGGCTATGAGCGTCTTGTTCTCGATCCCCCAGGTAAGGCGTGGTAACACTGGTTTGACAAGACAGCTGTTTACCGCTAGTAAAACACTGAGACTATTAAAGGTAGGGTAGGTAAGTTTGAGAAACCGGCTCGAGATACACTTTTTGTTATATTCCATGGAATGCTCTTAACATCCCGATAGCAATGAGTGCTTTGACAAAAAATCCATAAAAAAATGTCATCTGTGGAAGCCGTAGTACTGTAAAAAGTACGACCAATCATTTTAGCCGGCCCGGCTAAAATAACTGGATGGCCTACCTGCCTGTCAGCCTTCCATCTGTGCACAAACGTATCTCGTGCCCTCATTGGTCATGTGCGCGTTCGTGTGTGTTGGAGGAGGGGCTCTGTAAGGAAGTGGCAGATTTTCTCCGGTTGTGTATTTTCAAATTCTAGTGATCTCGAGCCGGTTTCTCAAACTTACCTACCCTACCTTTAAGTGTCTCATAGAGAAAGTGCTGGGTTAAAGGAAAGGTCTATCGCTCTCGTGTTTCTCCATATAAAGAGCAGGGTATATGCAACAGATTATTGGATCTGCATGCATTTTCTCAGTCTTATAGATATATTAAACTGTGGGCAAACCACACATCCTAGAAGCATTTTGAATGAGGCTTTACATGTATTTGACATACATTGTTAAACATGGTTCATCATTCCCTTTTTATCTCAGCATTTACATAAAATGTGGCTATTCGTAGGGGCTTTGCTTCAAGAAAACCTACTTTTTGATTAGAAGTGCCCAAAGGTTCTCGGTGTTAGGGATTAAAGGCTCTATAGTTTAGTAACATAAGGATGGGAATCCCTAATCCTGGAAGTATAGCTGCTTCACTGTAAACAGTGAGAGATATGGCAGCCTGGCATTATACTGTTGCTGGTGTTGTGACAATATTTGATGTGTGGCGATATAATCCAAGTTCAATCGAATCTTCAAACACAAACTAATTGGTGTAGAATTCTGCAAAATACTGGATTATATGGAGATGAAAATGTCTGAAGAACAGATTTTTGATTAGCACCAATGTATCCGTGTACAATGGTTTGTTTGATATCTAACAGAAATGTAATCCTTATCTTTTGTGCGATGCCCAGGAAAAACATTACAATTTCTGCCTGTTACACGAATACACTTCCACATTCTCAGGAAACAACTTGGTTATGTGTAAGTAACAAAACGTCTTGGTTAGGAAAACATTGTGGCATGGGTTCAAATTACGGAAGTGACGTGACTGTTACCTGACAAATAAATGAATTCTGCATACAAACAACGGTTAGCTGAAAGATAGTCGGGTGTTTCTTATATAAAAAAACAGGTTGCCACTTTCTGAATCTCTTTTCGTGTAACAAAAACCACTTATCAGAAAAGGAACTGATGTTACAGTACACCTTTCTTACTTCTTTGTCTTCCAGTAGGTTCAATCAATCGTGTCCACAGGTATGGAAAATTCTGTAGAGCAGCTTGCTTGTAGTTTTCAGAAAAGTAGAGCACACCAATAAGGCAGTCATCTCCCTAGTCAACAAAAGTCTAGTACGTTATTTGTGTGCAAGGCTTGTGGATTGTTGAATGTCAATTTTACATTTTTCAAGCTGGCTTGCTTTAAAATCCTGTAAAAAGGGTCTTAAATATGCATTGAATTGCTACCTACAACAAGATGTTCTGTATAGCTGTAAGCTGAATGTCCTAGCCAAACAACATCTTCACCATTTGACACAAAACACTGTTCAGATAGTTAGATCTATGATTTGTTTTTCTGATTTTCTAAGTGTATTTTAAATTGTAATGTTACAAGAGAAAACAAATGTTTTTCTTCTCCATAATACATAAACACATTACTACTTTACACGGAACACTTGTCTTTGGAGGTAAGTGATACGACCTACTTGAACATAATAAAAGGAGGCGTGTGGCGCAGTGGATAGAGCCTTGGTGTTGGGATCAGATGGTCACAGGTTCAAACCCCACTGCAGTCAGCATGTCGTTGTGTCCCTGGGCAAGAAACTTCACCCCAAATTGCTTCTGTGGGGATTGCCCACAGTATTGAGTATGTAAGTTGCTTTGGATAAAAGAGTCTAACAAGTAACATGTAATGTAATGCCTTGGGATACTGTCACACCACCAGAACACCATTATTATATAATGCTTTAATCCTTCTAACTCACCTCTGCCAAACAGACAGGGGGAAAATAAAGTACTGCAAGACCAATGGTGTCCAGCAGAATGCAATGGATAACTTTTTCATTTTTAACTCCTCAGATTTTTATTTTCCATAATGTGACCATCACGTATCCAGCCAACTTTACTCAGTGCACCACTAGGGGGAGCTTTGTCACTCACTGGCAGGAAACAGCCTACAACATGTTCACCTTCTCCTGCCTCTTCCTGCTGCCGCTGGTCCTAATGATTATCTGCTACACCAGGATCTTCATCCAGATCTCTAGACGGATGTCAAAAAAGAACTGTAAGTTCAAAGCTAATCCTGATTGGTCAGAACATAGTATATTTGATAGATATTTTAGTAAATATGTTAATTAATATTCAACTCTCTTTATTTCCTCCAGTTTCGCCAAACGAGCCAAATCTCCGTTGCTCAAAGAACAACATCCCCAGAGCTAGAATGAGAACTCTGAAAATGAGCATTGTCATAGTGATCAGCTTCATAGTCTGCTGGACTCCGTACTACCTGTTGGGTTTGTGGTACTGGTTTTCCCCCGACGACCTGGAGGGAAAAGTCTCCCACTCCCTCACCCACATCCTGTTCATATTTGGGCTTTTCAACACCTGCCTGGACCCCATCATATACGGCCTTTTCACCATACGCTTCCGCAAGGGGCTGAGAAGCTGCTACCACAAAACAACAGTGACGTCAGATCGGGAAAATAGCAGGGTGATATTGAAATGTACTGAGCCTGTTTTGCCCTCTAATAGAGGAATGGCCCCTGTTGACACGGACAGCAACTGTGAACAGACTGAGTCAACGTGACTTTACCCTTTGGTTTGTTGACTATCGTTTTTAAGCCACAAGTTCTAGAGCCATCGCCATATTGGTTTTGAGAACCAGTGGAGTGCATCAGCTGGGCGTAAAAAAGTAGGTCTTAACTCTAACGTCGGGCTTAGCTACTTCCAACTTAGTGATTCGAATTTACACCGAGTACACCAAGCCTGACTAGTCACGGTCATAGCTGCACCTAGTCTTAAGATGCGCGTCCACGTCAATACACACAAAACAGTAATTGTTGCCAAGCAACACACGTCTACATAATTTAACACTCAAACTTCTCCATTCAAAGCAGCCCGTTAGCGTAAAATCTGAGCGCAATCAGCACCTGCAAGGTTGGGGAGAGCACAGCGTTTCTGTCTGATCCATGCTGTAGTTGAGGGGAGATCTCCTCGATTAATTCTAAAAGGGCATGTGTACCGAAACGAAACCTCTCTATCAGCTCACTGTCCGAATAGATGTCCAGTGGGTTTGTTCGATCACGGACGACTCTCTCTTGTCTTAATGCCCTTTCGTTGTTAAACCTGTAAACAAGACGCACTGCCATCGTTATTTTCCTTCTTGCCTGTTTTACGTTACAATTCATACTACTCTGTCTTTCCGATTTAAGCCTGCTCCATATTTGGCGTAAAAGTTACACCCAGGCGCAATGCATACAGGGCTTAAATCTAAGTGGTGTACTAGTCATAACTTTAGTTTGGTCTTAACCTTCGGTTCTACGTCGGACTTAGAATTACGGCCAGTCTTACACCCAGCTGGTGCAATAGGGTGTTAATGGGCCTTTACGTGATTAACAGGTTGCAGAGGTAGCAACTTAGTCAAGCTCTAAAGCATATCCTGCTTCATCGCCTATTTAACTCATCATCAACATCATGCTGTAATAAAGGAGACTTGAAACTAGTGATTAGGGCCGTAAACTCATTAGAAAAAGTTCTACTGAGGAGATAAATCAAGTGAGAAGTAGAGTCATTTTCTCATAGACTTCTAGACAATGAGAACAGTGGAGTCGCCCCCTGCTGGATATTAGAACAACGCACGTTTAACGCACTTCCCCAATGGCTACACTTTTCAGACCCCAAAGAAATGTCCTTATACAGTCTTTGATAGAACCAGGAACCTACATTGCTAATTGACCTGGAACAATTTCACCTTTCCGTCAGAGTTATCCTGTATACTGGACATGTTTTTTCAGAATCACAACTTATGTGCATGTGTAGAGTAAAACGTTTCCGTCACCTTCATATGTCTTTGTGAGTGTGATGCTTAAGGCTGTCCATATTACTTAAAGCTTATGTAACATCTTTATGAACAGAGTAAACGTGTTTGGAGCTATTTGATGCTTTGTGTGTTGTCTAAGTGGGTCCTATTTTAAGAAAAGCCTGCCATATGGAATATACTTTCACGATGTCTCAAAAAAGCTTGACGACAAAATAAAAAAGATAGTGAGTGTCAGGTTACACAACAGAACTGTCAGTGCTGTGTGTGTTGTTACACACATTCCAGCTAGCGGGGAACGTTCTCACAACTTTGGCTAACATTACCTACAGGTTCTAATAATGTTTTAACCTGTTAAGCCCTGAGCCTGTTTTTCAGGTCTCAGGCTCGAAAAGGACATTCCCAGAACAAATGACCATATCTTCCCTTCTAAAAGGGTTAAATTAATAATATTTTTTCTCAAAGTAATGATAAACATGTGAGTTGGATGTAGAAAAGTCAGAATCAATATAGATGTTTTTTATTTTAAAGAAAATCAGATTTTACATAGTAAAAAACTGTAAATTATAGTGTCCGTCCAAAAATTCTTTTTTACTTATAGTGAAAACCACCCTTGGATGATGGGTTAGTAGACTAAAAGCTTTAGGAATCCAAAGTACAACATATAATAAGTACCCTGTATCAAGATTGATGCAAAACAAGTGACATTTGACCTTTTTAGAGAGATTTAGCAAAAAGAAACCACTTCTGGGGTCATTTGGGTGGATTTTCCATATCTCTGGCCCCCCTTGCTCAATTTTGATGGTTGACACCTCTTTCTGACCGTTAGAGCCAATATAATCGAAGGGGGAGTCCCCCAAACACACACATTGTGAAGAGAAAAGGTGGGGGCTTCGCGCATGTAATTTAGCATCAGAGTGAACCTCTAGCTTTGACATCTGGAAACGGAAAAGCAGTTTTAATGCTTATGGATTATCAGAAATCATTTCAAAGGGACACAGACACATTAGATTAACCTATGGATTAACTTCAGCAGCGTTTTTATCGTTTTAATGCCATTGAAGACCACTTTGGAGAGACTACAGAGCGAAGGTAAAAATGTTAGCATTTTTAGCTACCTAGCGTCACCTGTTTTGATGTCCGTTTTTGCTTATAACGTCGCAAATACGTATAATTCAGTGGTAATGTCGGTGTCAATCGATTCTGTGTCACCTCACGATGTGAAATGATGTGTTGGATGTGGTGAAAAGATAAATAATAAGGTTTTGTGAGTGATTTTTGGTGCAGTAAGGTGTTAGCATTTTTCGCTCGTTGCTAATTCAGAGGCACAGTGTTAGCATTGTGGGTTTTGTTTTAAAAAATTTAAAAAAAGATCAGTTAGATGAGTTTCTTCCCGTTACATGGATATAAAACATTCATAGTTTTATTAAATGAACATGCCCTCAGACACTGTTTCCTGCAAGATGTTGCGGCAGTACCCCGGTAATGGGGTCTCTCGGGCTTAACAGGTTAAAGAAACATTTTAATCTGATGTTCAAAGAACCTTTTTAGGATGTTTATTATTTCAAAAAATGTTCCTATAAGGTTTAAGGTTAACTAAGACATAACGTTTTAACGGCAACATTCAGAGGATGTTTTGAGGATGTTATTAAGGCCTGAGATGACAGAAAATCTTTTTATAAAACGTTCCTTTAATGTGATATGTTAACAAAGGTGGAACGTTTTGCCTGCAACATTCTAAGGATGTGTTTTGGACGTTGTTGGGGTAACACATTAAAGATGTTCTTTATAAGGTCTTTACAGGTTACTAAATGAAGCTCAGCGTAAATTCAATCAGGAAGACCAAGCTCTTCATTCAGATTACACGTCACCTCATTACACTCTCCTTCCTCATTAAGTGATCGGGGGCGTCACTCCCCAGCTAACCAATCTCTCCTCTCTCCATTCTCACAAGCCTACCATAGCTCCCGCTAATCTCTTTACAGATGGAGCGTTTTATTTTGGACAGTTTGAAACGCGAGGGTCGTGATTGGTCCGTGATTGGTCCGTGATCGGCCCGTGATCGGCCCGTGATGAAGAGCCGGCCCCCAGTCTGACTTGATACCGCCCCCGTGATAAATACATTTAATTATTGTGAAGCCAGCTGCAATGGATCATTGATCCACCAGGGGGTGCAGTGGGGTTCCACACTGGAGCTCATGTGAAATCAACTTCGATACAGTAAACTGGATGTTGTGGTGCCGAGAGACGGGAGTCGGAGGCGGGGTATCAAAAGTAAAAGCTAAACTTTTATTTAGCATCTGAACACACATGTAAACAACTTCATGCCCGGGAAGCGAAGACCGGCGGAAACAGCTGGTCTGGTTCACTAAAATGTCCGTGCGGAACAATACCCCAACCCATAGATCCGTGGGTGAATAATGTCAATCACCACAATATGTCTGGTACTAATGTATAGCGGATCTTTGTTAAGATCCATATGTCACGGATAGGATCATAGTCTGTGCTAAATAAGACATGTAATCATTTACAAAACATCACCATGTTGTTATTTAACAAAATAATGTTGTCGAACGAGAGGAAAGCAGCCGGCTCTCGATTTTTAATCCTAATTTAATCATCATCTTCACCACGATCATTTATGTTTATGTTCGCCGAATTGACATGAAATCACTGACAAATATGAATATACTGTATTCAACTTCATTAAAATGTTATTAACGTGCCTAAACTCAGTAATTCACTAAACATATTTATATTTTAATGGAGCCTTGTCAGGCAAATCAAGATCCGCGTAGCGGAGGGATCTTGATCCCTGGGTGTTATTTTTCCCCATAATGACCAAGTCGCTGCAAATTATCCCGCTTATTACATGGCCACATTCTCAACAAAGTAACAACATGACTCCCAATATTAATTGAAATGCTTTTATGGATTTAGAAAATGTTTTTATTGATTTAAAAAATAGTTGTATGTATTGATTTAAATTGACATGCATCCGCCAAGAAAAATAGTCCGTTGTTACCGTTTTTTAAACAATGAAACGGCAGCTCTCAGCTGTGTGTTTACACACCTAATGGCCCATCACCCACAGCTCTCTCCCCCCCCCCCTGATCTTTCTTTTCCAACAGTTAAGTTAACTGTAGGTTACTCTGAGTGACAAGCTTACAGTTAGTGAAGTAACACTAACTGGCTGTTTCATTCTAACATAACGCTCCAAATATGACTGTTTCCACTCGGACTTCAATACAGCAACACCATTGTTTGGTTTCCATGGTAGCGTGTCTCTTTAGTAGCGTGCACTCCTTTCCTGTAAATTACTAAATTAGTTTTTAACTGAAATGATCAAATAAAGTCAAAATGTCACAGTGTTTACAAACATTGACCATACCGTTCATCAGCCCCCACTGTTGAGTAGGCTATACTCTTTGTTTAAAACTAATTGCATTTAACTTCAATATAAAGAAAAACATCTTCTGTTGTAACAACAATAACATTATAAATAGTAACATAGCTGATTCACCATCCCCCACCCCCCTACTGTATGTTGATTTTGTTTGCCTACATGTAAATAGGTGGCATTTAGTACCCCCCTCTGAGTGAATACCTGTTGTACCTGTCCGGGGCTAAGCCCATAGGACGATGCTCTGATGTCAACCCCCCCCGTTGACAATTCACGAGCGTCTAACTCTCTCCCCCCCCCCGTCGCACCTTCTGACAGAGCCCCCCCCACATATCAAATCCCAATTTAACCCCTGGCCTCTGGAGCA